CTTAGCTAGCGCTACAAGACCAGATATCTCTTTTGCTGTGAGCAAACTGAGTAGGTTCATGTCCAACCCGGGTGATGATCATTGGCATGCACTAGAAAGAGTCTTGCGCTATCTGAGAGGTACTATGAGTTACGGAATTACTTATTCAGGGCATCCTGCTGTGCTAGAAGGATATAGTGATTCAAATTGGATCTCCAATGTTGATGTACTTTACGCAACAAGTGGGTATGTATTTACTCATGGTGGTGGCGCAGTGTCATGGAGGTCTTGTAAGCAAACCATATTGACGAGGTCAACTATGGAAGCAGAATTAACTGCTTTGGACACAGCTACTGTTGAGGCAGAATGGCTGCGTGAGCTTTTGATGGACTTGCCGGTTGTTGAAAAACCTGTACCGGCTATTCTTATGAATTGTGATAACCAAACGGTTATCGCTAAAGTGAACAATTCTAAAGATAATGCAAAGTCATCAAGACACGTGAAAAGACGTTTGAAGTCTGTCAGGAAGTTGAGAAACTCCGGAGTAATAACTGTTACGTATATACAAACAGATAAAAACCTGGCAGATCCTTTTACAAAGGGACTATCACGAAATGTGATAGATTTTGCATCGAGGGAGATGGGTATGAGACCCATAGATGTTACACCATAGTAGTAACCCAACCTTTGTGATCGGAGATCCCGTAAATTAGGATCTGGGAAGAACAAACTATTGGTTAACTGAGGAGAGTAATAACTTATGATCGTCTCCAAGTGAAGATGCAAAACTCTCAGAGCTGTAAGGCTCAGATCTGTAAGGCAGGTCAGCAACATGCCTTAATGTGGTTCTATTGGCTATAATTAGCAAAGATGCTGTCCTACAGAGCAGTCTCGAAAGAACACACCTATATGAGTTCTGACTGTAAACGTCGCAGTCTATGAGATTTGGGTGATCTCTAGTAAACTCACGAAGAGACCAGGGAGTATGACGTATAAGCTCCAAACCATGGGGTAGCCTACTGGCAGTCAGGTACTGGTTAAGACTTTGAGTGAAACCTGTTCACACAAAACTAGCAATTCAAGGCATAGTCCATTGTCAAGTTGTGAATGGATGTAGCTTAAAGTTCTAGGCAGAAGTTCAACTTAACAGTCTCTGCTGAAACACTGGTATATTAAACAAGTGGTGAGAGAAGGCAAATCTCTAAATGGGTATTTGAGATCTGGTGGGGGATTGTTAGAATTAATGGGCTAGGCCCATAGCAATTTCTGAAATCTCAAAGCCCATGTGTAAAATGGCAAGTGGTGGTGCTAAGTTTAGTCCCACCTTGAAGTTGAAGAAGAGTTGGACCTCTTTATATAGTGGGTTCTCTCCACCACTCTAAGTGGTGTGTGAGAAGAGAAAGGGAAAACCACACGCGCGCGCTCGCTCGCCTCGCCTCGCCGAAATCCGGCCCGTCTCCTTGCAGGAGCGCAGCTTCCTTTTGCCGTTTTATTTTTTATTTCTTGGCAGACAAGTTTTTTGATTTCTTGTCCGGTAAGTATACGAATTAGAAACCGAGTCGGTTTGGGATTGTGGTCGCGACACAATACCGCCTCTGGTCCTAATATATATACAGCTACCGGCTGCGGCCAGAGATACACCGAAAAACACCTAGGGTTTTGCCTCATCTCACAACTTGCGCCGCCATCGTAGTCTACTCCATCCCAAACGCCGGCGTGCATCGGCGCGTGGGAGAGCAGGTCTCCGGAACCGTTCGTCTTTGCGATCCTGCACCGGGAGAGGACGAATTAGGTTTTTGGGAAGCGTTGTGCGCGACTGCTCAAATTCGTCATCACGGGTCGTCTTCCGTCCAAGTCGGGCGGTGCTACTCATCGTCGTATTCATCACCGTCAGCAGCAGATCATCGCCAACATTGTCATCAACACTGTCGGACCCATAATAGCTAACGATCAGTATGTCCAACATCCTTTGTTCATGTCTGTTTCTACAGCTATTGTTACGTGCTTGTTGCTGTTATGCATGTCTTGCTGTTCTTCTAGTTTGCTGGATTATTGCATGCTAGTATCTCTTCTAGTCATGAATTATTTACTGAAATTAATCATGAACTTGCCTAATATTCCAACAGTTCCTGCCCTTGCGGCCTCCGCCATGGCCGCCTCCCAGGAGCTAGCACGGCTACAGAGTTTTGTTGATATTACGTAGCGCGACCCGTAAAGAACTATGAGCAGCAGCGTAAACTGAACATTACTTAAGAAATAGCAACCAAAATTTCAAATTTTGATCACTTTTGAAAATTTAGGAGTTTTGACAAACGTGAACAATTTCAAAATTTTAAAACGTCTTTTCAAACAGCAAAAGAATTTAAAATTCTCAAACATTTTTCAAAAAAGCAAATATTTTTTGTTTGAATTTGTACAAAAGACTTGAAGAATGTACATCTTTTCAAATTTGGAAAAACTGCTAGAATTCTAACATTTTTAAAAATTGAGAACATTTTTAGAAATATAAATATTTTTTTAAAATCCAGACTATTTTCCTAAAAACACAAACTTTTCTTGAATTGGTGAATTGTTTGTGAAAACTGAAACAAATTTTGAAACCCTGAACATTTTTTTCAAACCCAAACTTTTTTAAATTGGTGAACAAAAAATTAAAATGGGAACAAATTTTGAAAACCAGAACAAAATTTTGAAACTAGGTGCAGTTTGAGTATCCTGAACAATTTTGAAAATACAAACACTTTTTGTGTACATGAAAAAAATGTAAATGGAATCATTTTTTCTAAAACTTCGAAAAAAATAAAACACAAACATATTTTGTAAAGCATGAATTGTTTTTTGAAAAATTGCAAACAATTTTTAAAATAATGAACAAATTTCGGAAACACAAACAAATTTGGACATTGGAACAATTTTCTAAATTGTACAACTAAACGAAACGAAAAATAAGAAAAAAAAGAAACGGAAAAAAAACAATAAAAGAAAAAAAAGTACGAGAAGAACCGGTTCAGTAACCTTCTAAAATTTTTCCTAAACCAGTAAAAACCGGCTGGGAACCTCTAGAAGGTTCCTAAATGGATGCGTACTGCAGGAGATGGCCCGGCCCGATTGATCCCGCCCCTGTGTGCGTTTAGTCGACATTTTGAGCCACAGACGGTCAAATAGGATCTCGCGAGCAAAAGGTCTTCGTGGGAAAAAATAAATAGGAAATATAGCTGGACCAAAGCGACCTCTTTGTTAGTCCAGCCTCATCATATCAAAATCCATTTCAGCCCAGAGCTTCACAGTTTTCCACCCATTGCATAGTTTTCCCTGAGACCTTCCTCCTTGTTTTGAAAAGGTTTCAGAATATTCCACGGCGTTTTGTAACTAGATGACGCCCTGCACGTTGATGCGGGAATATTTTGCAATATATTTCAAAGATATTTGATTTTATGAAAAAAGAATATTCAAGAAATAATATGATAGCTAAAACTAAAAATACGTATGGTCTATATTATTTGATTATTGTACATTTGTAAAATATTTATTAAATATGTCATGCATGTTTGCATGTTCAGACGGACCTTTTCATATGGCTCATTGAATGCTGAGGTGGGCCTTTTCTAATGCATGTTGCTTGATGAGGTGTCATGCTTGAGAAATAGGTTAGTGGGGGCTAGCTATTTAGATATAGAAGATATCTTTCTTGTCTTTTCTATTTTGGTATTTGCCGTTTATCTTTTTATTTTACTTCTTCTCTTTTTTTCATTTTAAATTGTTTAAAAAAAATCAAAACCATGAATATTTTCTCAAATCAACTATTTTTCCAATTTGGGGTCATTTTCTAAATTCATAAATATCTTTTTTTTTTGAGTTGGCAAAAAATTCAAAATTCAGGAATAGTTTCCAAACATTTTTTGGTTACACCAATTTTAAAAAGAACATATCATCCTTTTTTTCATGAGCCAGAAGAGCAAGGGTAGATAAGAGAGCGAAAAAACAAGATAAAAACAACAAATCACGACCGACAAATTTCTATTTTTCTGTCTCAAGAAAAAAATTGCGAGAATATAGCAACATGTTTCATGAAGCGGGGAATAGGAGCTCCCTTGCAAAGGCACCAAGGATTTTTTGAATCCAATTTATAAAACCTATCTAACAGTATACCTTTATGTGTTTGAAAAAATATTCAGGTATGACCCATTTAAAAAATATTTTATTTTTATCTCAAATAGCTTTTGTGCAATGACATGACCATTTATACCATGTGTAAAAAGAGAAAATAATACGACCAAAACACACCTCGTGCACCCCTGAAATCCACTGTTTCAGCTTCTCCAACGCCCCACATACACTGCCAACAATCTAGTCATCTCAAGAGAGAAATAGAAATGTACATGATGGCCCGAATGCTGAGATCGACCCGGTCTGAAGACAGCCTATGGCCTATGGCATGAGAGTTCATCGAAAGTTGGAAAAAGCACACAAGTTCATCTACGATGATGCAAGGTTAGAGTACATCCATTCTCAAACCAATTACCAATAACAGAACTCTTGATTATTGACAGTAAATTTAATTGCAGATAGCAGTAACAGAAACTAGACTGTTCCTAGTGTCTTAACCTGATCATGCAGAGAAAGATGGTCTTTCTTGGACATGAGACGGCCCTGCGCACATCAGATTACAATCATAGGCGCACGAGCATACAGACACTGACCAAACGACACCACCGAGCTATGTACGATGAAATGATGCAACAGCTGCTAGCTACAATACTGGAAATGACCAGTTGCCTTTCTGAATCACTATCTACAGATGGTCAGGTATCACTACCTGTCCGAACAGGACAACCGAGTCAGGATCAGTCCATCTGCACTACCGCTATATATCTTCAGGCACTGCACGGCAAAAGAAATTTGGTGCACTAATTAAAAAAAAGATTCATTTGAGATTAGCGACATCAGATTGTATAGAGAAGCTAACTTCTAGCAACAGGAAATCCTGAGCAAGACGATTAATTACCAGAATAAACGTAACTTCAGTTACGCTTCTGCCATGGGTTATTTTCCTGAAATTTCCAAGGTGCCAGCACTATGCTTGATGGAGCATAGTCAACAGACTGCAGGAGATCTTGGGCCCGTCTGATTTTGTTTACTAGTTCCTGCAGTTTCATCGTGGCCTCGCTCACGGTGCCAGTAGGCTTAACTGATACATGCTCACTTGAGGTCTTGACTTTGTTTACTAGTTCCCGCAGTTTCATCGTGGCCTCGCTAACGGTGCCAGTAGGCTTAACTGATGCATGCTCACTTGAGGTCTTGAGTTTCTTAAAACTGGGGGGACTTGATTGCTCATCGGTAAGGAACTGAGGAGACTGTCCTGAATTGGCCACAGGAGACGTCGGACAGTCTGCTTGGCTGTTCATGCAACATTCACCATTTTCATTGGGTGCGAGTTGCACTTTTGTATTGGTGACCTCGAGAGAAGCGTCAGGCTCACTTGAGGTCTTGAGTTTCTTGAAATTGGGGGTACTTGATTGCTCATTGGTAATGAACTGAGGAGACTGTCCTGAATTGGCCACAGGAGACGTCGGACAGTCTGCTTGGCTGTTCATGCAACATTCACCAGTTTCATTGGGAGCGAGTTGCACTTTTGAACAGATGGCCTCCAGAGACACGCCAGGCTCTTCATTCATGCATTTTTGTGGTTCCCCTTCACTGTCTGTTTGACTTTCCAGGCAGCACCTGCCATTTGTATTGGCTGGCTGTTTTACATCTTGATCGACCAACTCCTTTGGTGTATCAGATGCTCCATTCAGGCATTTTCCTATTTCTTGCTCCAATGAATCAAATGATCCATTCAAGCATCTTTGTAGTACCTTGTTACCATCACAAGATTGCTCAATGTCCTCCTCATCAGAGCTGCTACTTAATGTATCTGTATACCAATAGCAAACAAATATTACGGTGCAAAAAAGTTAAGTGCCCTAGTATACAAGGTAACTCTAAAAATAATTTGAGCGTTAGTGATGACGGTTTTGGATAACGTAATCACTAAGATTTCACTGGCAAGTGATGAGGGTTTTGCAGCACTGGCAAGTGGCAAGAGGGTGCATTACAGTGGTGGTTCTGAGGTATTTTTGCTTGAGATTATAGGAGGCTTGTGTGATCATTGTGAAGTTCTTTAAGGCATGTACTGCATTGGTCATTTCCTGGAAAAGGATTAGTCGCAATGGGTTAAGGGTTTTATTAACTAGATGATACCCCGCGCGTTGCCGTGGAATTGGGTATATAGTTTCAAAAAATTGTGTAGAATACTAATTAAGGAGAACATCGTTTTGGTGACCGAGCTCACTAGAGCTCGAAAATTTTGAAAAATTCAAACTTTACGGTTCCAAAAAAATCTGAAAAAAAATTGTGCAAGTAAACAAGGATGTTATGTGTATGTGTGTAAATTTTTAGGATGAAATACCTTGAAATCCCATCTGTACAAAAAAGACAAATTCATGGCCTGGGAGGACGAATAGTATCATGTGTTAAGTAACTCCAGATTTTGTTTTGCACAGCCCTCATTTCAACATATTTTGCACTGAAAATTTAAACAAATGTCTGTTATGCCTTCATGCATATCTGTATTTTTTCAGAATTTTTTGAAACGTAAAAGTATGAATTTTGAATTTGGAGGCCTCCATGGAGGCCGAGCTCCAAAAGCAATTTTCGCTAATTAAGTCCTTACAATTTTAACTATGTGAGAAATTTCTGCATATAAGCAGAAAATAATCTTAATATTAAAATTGTGCATGTCACAATTAAATGTAATAGTAATACCTTGGTTCCCTGCAATCAAACGAGCAGTATGCCAGCATTCGCCGTTTTCCTGGTACAATAAAATGAACTGTTAATTCCACTATATGGGAATGAATATCTAACTGATTGAATAAATAAATATATATATTAGTTACATAATTAATTGATACTCCCTCTGTCCTATAATGTAAAGCGTTTTTTGACACTAGTGTAGTGTTACAAAAAACCTTATATTATGGGATGGAGGAAGTACTAAATTTTGCTAAAATTAAAAGCATATTTCTTTGTTTATTTATTTCCATCTTAGAGAATTTACTAACTGGGTAGCCATATCTAAAGACAAATAATCTAACTGGTAAGCCGTATCAGGACCGACAATCAGATTGTAAAGTGTGAACAGATAGAACACAACACACCAAAGCCTTTCAGTCCCAAACAAGTTGGGGTAGGTTAGAGTTGAAACCCACAAGATCTTGAAACCAAGTCATGGTTTTGGCACGTAAATTGCTAACTTCCACGCACCCCTGTCTATGGCTAGTTCTTTGATCGGGCCGGGCTCAGGCTTGACTATTGAGTGTCGGTCTTTTAAAAGCCCAGCCCAAAACCCGGCCCGGCCTAAGAAATGCCCAGGTTCAGTTCAGACTTTGGGTTGCATTGGCTAGTGCATGAAGCTTAATATGGTATCAGGGTCCAAGGTCTCCTAGCTTTTGCAATTTGTCCAAAAATTGTTGCTCCCCCTTTGTGTCCACGTATAGGCCTCCCGAGCCATACCTCTGAGTCTATTCACGTGTTGACTTTCCACATCACACATGGTAGCTTCATGCACTAGTCAACGCAACCAAAAATCCAAACTGATGGAATAGGCTAGGCAATCCATATTACACTTCAACACCTATAGTAGTACTAAAATTGCACCTCATGCACTCAGTTTTAGTTCTATATTACGCCTAAAACCTTTCGATTCCAAGTCTTTCTCCGCAGCTCTAACTTTCTATCAACCCCTGTCCCACTATCATCGACTAGCACCACATCACCCACTAATAGCATACACCATGGGATATCCCTTGTGACCTCATCAATCACCAAAACAAAAAAGGGCTCAAAGCAACCTTGGTGCAGTTCTATTTTAATCGTAAAGTATCAGTGTCACCATCACTTGTTCGAACACTTGTCACAACATTATCGTACATGTCCTTGATGAGGGTAATGTACTTTTTTGGGATATTGTGTTCCTCCAAGGCCCACCAAATGACACTCTGCGGAATTTTATCGCAGCCTTTCTCCAAGTCAATATACACCATATACATGTCCTTTTGCTACCTATATCTCCTCATAAGTTGTCACACCAGGAAAATGGCTGCCATGATCGACCTCCTAGGCATGAAACCAAATTGATTTTTGGTCACGCTTGGCATTCTTAAGTGGTGCTCAATGACTCTCTCCCATGGATTCATTGTACGGTTCTTCAGCTTAACTCCACGGTAATTAGTACAACTTTGAACACTCCCCTTGTTCTTGAAGATTGGTAGCCATACTATCGCTATGTCTCCAAGGCCTCTCCACATCTCAATGGGATACAATAAGGGACCATTGCCTTCCCTCCTTTCATCCTTTATAAAGCCTCCCTGACCTCGGACTCCTGGATTTGTCGCACAAAACACATGTTGGTATTATCAAAGGAGTCGTCCAGCTCAATGGTAGGGCTATCATTCTCTTCATCAACCAGCTTGTCAAAGTACTCTCGCCATTTGTGCTTGATCACCACCTTCACCAGAAGCTGATCTTCTCCGTCATGCATTTAACTTGGTTGACATCCCTCACCTTCCTCTCTCGGACCTTGGCCATCTTCAGATGTCCATTTCGTCTTCCTTTGTGTTTAAATGCTAGTAGAGGTCCTCATACGTCCGACCCCTTGCCTCACTCACAACTCGCTTTGCGGCCTTCTTTGCCACCTTGTACTTCTCTATGTTATCTGCACTCCTATCCACATGTAGGCATCTGAAACGATCTTCTCCTTAATAGCCTTATGGACATCATCGTTCAACCACTAGGTCACTTCTACTTCCCCTGGTCACCCCAAACTAAGCCATCGTCCAAACGCTACTCGCCATCTTCATCCACATACTGTTTGCATCACCGCCCTCCTCCCAAGGGCCCCTCCTTGATATCCATCCCCTTGAAAGCCTGAGTTGCCTCCCCATTGAGCTTCTACCACTTCGTTCTAACGACTTCGACGCACTTATCCCGTTTAGACACGAATCTGAAAGCTGAAGTCGGACACTACAAGCTTATGTTGAGGGACAACACTCTCTACAGGTATCACCTTATACAATCCAGGCAAGCATGACTTTCTTCTCTTTTCAAGAGGCCGAAATCAATTTGGTTAAGAGTGTTGACCGCCACTAAAAGTCACTAGATGGGATTCTCTCTTTTCAAAGAGGGTGTTAGCTACGATTATATCATAGGCTAAAGCGAAGCTTAAGACATCCTCTCTATGATTCCTATCGCCGTAGCCAAAGCCCTCGCGCATCCCTCCAAAACATGTGTTAGATGTACCCACGTGGCTATTGAGATGTCCTATGAAGAGCTTCTCGCAAATAGGTACACTCCTAACTATGCCCTCCTCCAAGCCTTCCCAAAAATCCCTCTTGGTGCTCTCATTGTGGCCTACTTGCGAGGCATATGCGCTGATAACTAAGTCCCCAACGACCATCTTGACTAGGATAATCCGGTCCCTTGCCTCTTGACGTCTACGACTCCATACTTGAGTCTCTTGTTGATCAATATGCCTACTCCATTTTTGTTTGTAGTTGTCCCCGTTAACACAGCTTGAAGTCGGTATCCTCCACCTTCACCTTCCACCCCTTCCATTTGGTTTATGGATGCATATGATATCAACACCTCTAAAGGTAGCGATAAGAGATCACGATCAAAAAATTTCAAGATTTCTCTCTGCTTTTAGTTTCGCTTTGTATTTCAGACACATTGTTAGGGAGTTGATCAATTCATACAATCAAGGAAATTTTTATATTAGAGTATTTTTCAACGTTTTACCCCCTAGTCTTTAGAGTACCAACAATGATCTGATTTATCTATTTTTCTGTCTTTTCCCCACATCTGTGTTTTTATTCCATATCATGTTGTATGCCACATGACACTAATCCACTTACCACAACAACAACAACAACAACAACAACAAAGCCTTTAGTCCACATGACCACTTAAGAGATTAACTTTATTGGATTCAGTAAACTATCGAATAAGGGCGCGGTAAAAAAAGGAAAAACAATAATCAAGTAGACACTCAGAAAGAGCCACTGAGTATGGAGTAAAAGGTTAATTTTGCTCTTGCTAATAATAATTTCTAGTAGTGCTCTTCTCTACATTTTCATAATAGAGAATCATCCTATGACATGGACTTGAAGATCCTAGCTATTAGGATCTAAATGATCAGCTCACTATTGTATTTGAAACTATGATGTAGATTTATGTTAGTTGCATATGAACTTTAACATACGATGTAGAATCTTGTTAATTGCACATGATCTTTACCACCCGTTAAAAATGTGTTCGTTGGTATTCGAAAAACGATTTATAGCACTATCAAGAAGGATGATATCAAATAGGAATTTTTCATCAAGCAGTGGATGATGGTGCAATTACCTGTGAAAGAGGGGCACTCCAACCTTTTTCGAGGGACCAATCAAGCGCTGGCCTCAGGTCTTTGGGATCGGCAACCCAACATCCACCTTCACCTAATGGTATTTCAGGACAAATTATCTGTAAACCAAGTAGAGAAAGCACAATACAACTCATATTAAATGTAACCACCAAATGTAGCCATAAATGCAGGTATTGTAAAATATATTCTAGAGCAACAAAAAGCAAAATAAGTTTATTATCCTTACAAATAAAAGCCAACAAGAAAGCATTACATTACACACAAAACAACAAAACAATATGTGCAAAGAGACGTTCAAATCATTTTGCTAGAATAGAAAGCATTGCCTTCTTTCGGATGCCATACCCCTCATACTTTGGTTGAGACCAGTCTCAATTTTTCATCTATAACACCAGCAAAATTTGGTACCAACAACACTAGTGGCAGATATATTTACAGTTGTGGTTCTTCTCCTAGTGTTATGAATGTGATTTTTTTTAAGAAATGTCTATGTCTTACCATTAAGGAACATTAAATGTGTGATAAATTACAACTTGTATTTTACTCCCTTCTCCGTTTCACATTATCGCATCACCAGTACAACACATTAATATTTAGTATAATTTGCAAATATAGCAAGCACAATTGAAATCAGCATGCATGCAACATGTTCAATAAATAATCATGTGCAAATATGGCAAGCATAAAAACTTGAGTCAAAACAGTAAAATAACTTGTGTTCAATCAAAAAAGAAAAATAAATTGCATCTAGTCAAAAAAGCATAATAAGTTGAGAAATCATTATATATAAATAAACAAGAATATTCATTCATACTCCAACCCTCATGTGATTTTCTGAACATGAAAATTTTGCTAACTTTTTGAACAAGGCAATTAAAATGAGTTCAAATAACAGTGGATAGCTATTTGATTTCACAGAAGGGCCAAGCAAGTGGCATTAGTGTTCACCATAATAAATTATTACCTTAACTTTGTCATCACTCATCAACTCGGTAATTTTCCCAGTCCAAAAACAATCAGTGTACCACCAATCAATCAAGTCACAGAAGGGCCAAGCAAGTGGCATTAGTGTTCACCATAATAAATTATTACCTTAACTTTGTCATCACTCATCAACTCGGTAATTTTCCCAGTCCAAAAACAATCAGTGTACCACCAATCAATCAAGTCACCTACTTTCCAACGACTGCTTACAACTGCTACAACATCCGTTTGTGGCCCAAGCTCAGCAATATCATTCTCCCAACACCACCGAGGAAAAGGAGGTCGTAGCATGATCTCCCTATTCTGACTTGCTTTCTGATTACGGCATTTGGGGGGAATTTTGAAGAGTCTATTCCATTTCCTTCCTGTCAGTACATAAAAGGAATAATTTAGAAAACTAGAGACAGTCTCAGATAAATTATGAGCTATTTCAGGTCTGTTAGCACAATTGTACAGTACTTTACTCTTCTAACCTAAAGTCCAACACTCAAAATCACAAAAAAAAATCTTTCTGATACATTTTCAACTTCACACGAGTAGTGTACAACATCTATTAGAATTAAAACACGGCAAAACATCTTGCTAAGTTGACTGGGTCAATGCAGGGCAGATTCACCTATTTCTGCATGTAGAGCAATATCTAGTACGGGACATTGAAGTAGTGCCTTCAACACTTGTGTTGTACACTTTGTACCAATGAGGTGGAGTTGCTCCTCCACAATCTTGTGCTGCCTCTGGTGGTACTAGAGCCTTGTTGATCCATAATAGTTCTTGGTTTCTTCTTTGAGAGCGAGTTACAAAAGGAATAAAGCAATTGGAGAAGAGAATAGATGCTTGAGAACAACAAATGAAAGCATCGCATGAAGATCTTAACCGGAGATTCGATCAGCTGGTTGAGATGACAAGAAAAGGTGTGTTCCCCTGCTACCAATGAAAAAGATTTATCAAGAGAAGGACTTGTTCAACGATGTAGAAAGGGATGTAATCTTGGTGCAACACCGCCACAAGAACGTACAGTTCAGCATACTTCAAGAAGGCCAACTTATGTTGAAGCTTTTGAAGGTGAAGAATCCGATCTCTGCATATCGAAGAGTACCCAACCCTACATATGCCAGGTATACATATAAGGTGAACGCTGAGACCCCAACTTTTAATGTAAGGTTGATACTGATGGGTGCCCTACATATGCCAGGTATACATATAAGGTGAACGCTGAGACCCCAACTTTTAATGTAAGGTTGATACTGAAGGGTGCCTTGATTGGTTATATTTAGTGGAGACTTTCTTTGAGGTCATGGATATTCCGAAAGATCAGAGTTCCTTTGGTCGCGTACAAGCTGAAAGGAGGAACCGAAGCATGGTGGCATCGACTTCAAGAAGAATGCATGCTTATAGGAGAACTTGGCAAATGAAGAGTCTTTTGAAAGGGGGATTTTTGCCTGTTGATATGACAAGATCCTATTTATCCAATTTCAGAACTATGCACAAGGAAATAAGATTGTTTCAGATTACACGGAGGAGTCTCTAATGCTACAAGTAAGGTGCAACCTTGTGAGACTCAAGATCAACAAGTCGCAAGGTACATCAATGATCTCAATGATACTATTCAAGATCAATTGATAATGCAGCAAATCCGGACAGTTGATCAAGCACAAGCTATAGCCTTAAAGGCCGAGAGGTTTGTGAGGACAAAAAAGACAACTAAGGCCCCATATCCTCATACTGTAATCGAAGAGTTACACTAATAGAGTGGAAGAAAAGACCGCTCCACCAAAGGCAAAACGATCGACGCATCCCGAAGCAAACTAGAGGCAAGGGTAAGGCACATAAAGGCCCAAAATGCTATAAATGTGGTGAACATTTACACGTATCCAGCGGTTGCCCACTGAGAAATTTGTTAACACAACTATCCATGATGGTGAAGACGATGAGGAAGAATTCGAATATGAAGATGTAGAGGGACAAGAGGTTTGTCAAGAAGGTGGAGAGGTGGTATGTGTGATTTAGCATCTCCTATGCTCCACACCACACCTGACGACACACAACGGAAGAAAATATTTGAGAGCAAATGCATGGTGATGACAAAGTATGCAAATTAGCGATTGATAGTTGCAGCTGCGAGAATCTTATCTCTCATAATTTGGTGAACCATTTAAAGCTTGAAACTCATGATCATCCAAATCCCTACACTATTTGGTGGATCAAGAAAGGAGTGAATATGAGAATCACCATACAATGCAACCTGCCACTTTCTTTGTACAAGAATTATCGCTCAAATATGTTGCGTGGTGTGATTGATATGGAGGTCAGCCATATTCTTCTTGGGAGACCTTAGAAATTTGATGTGGATACTACACATGAAGGGAAGAAAAGTTCTTATTCTTTTATTTGGACCAAGAGAAATATCATTATTCTACCAAACCAAATTGATGGTAATAATACCTCTAAGGAGGAGGGGAGAAGTACCTTAGCTATCTCCCACACCTCTAATGAGTTTATGGAAGACTTGAAGGAGGCAAATTTGTTTGCTACACTTATTGTAAAAGGAGAAGAGCACCCGACAATTGCATCTCCGATAAAGGTACGTGGCTTATTAGTTGAATTTCATAACATACTTGGAGAGCCACAAGGCCTGCCACCGATGAGAGGAATTCAACATAGAATTGACTTAATTCCAGGAGCAAGTCTTCCTAATTTTCCACACTACCGAATTAGCCCAAAAGAGCATGATATATTGAAGGAAAAAGTGGAGGAATTGTTGCAAAAGGGGCACATTCAAGGAAATATTAGCCCATGTGTTGTACCAACCATGCTCATGCCAAAGAGATGGATTTTGGCGCATGTGTGGACAGTTGAGTCATTAACAGAATCACTGTAAGGTAAAGATTACCTATTTCTCGTCTAGATGATATGTTGGATTAGCTTAGTGGAGCAAGAGTGTTCACAAAGCTAGATTTAAGTTGTTATTATCAAAGTTGTATCAGACCCGAGGATGAATGGAAAACAATCTTAAAGATAAAGGAAGGGTTGTTTGAATGACTGGTCATGCCATTTGGAGTCTCAAATGCATAAAGTAACTTTATGCACTTGATGAATCAAGTCCTTCGCCCCTTCTAATCCCAATTTGTTGTGGTTTATTTTGGTGACATCTTGATCCATAGCAAACAAGATTGAACACTTTGAGCACACTTGAAAGGTGCTAGGAGTATTAAAGGAAAATGAGCTCTAAGTCAACTCTAAGAAATGTGTTTTCCTGCAAACACAACTTTTTTTTCCTAGGATCTATAATAACATGCGACAGTATTCGTGTTGACGATTCTAAGGTTGAAGCAATCCAAGAATGACCAACTCTGGAGACCGTTTCGAAGGTCAGAATTTTTGATGCATTGCAACTTTCTATAGATGATTTATGAAAAATTTCAACACTATCATGGCACCAATTACCAAGTATCTAAAGAAAGGAAAGTTCCAATGGACAGATGCAGCTGAACCTAGTTTCAATGAGATCAAGCAAAAACTATCACAAGCTCATGTCCTAGTGCTACCTATTTCAACAAGAATTTTGAGTTGGGGCGTGAAGTTAAGCGAAGGCAGAAATGGAGTACTTGTCAGCAAGAATTGTATGCACTTTCCAAGCTTTAAAAACTTCAGAAGTCTATTTGCTGCCTAAAGAGTTCATCATTTACACTGACATCAATCCAGCATTTTAGAAATCAAAAGCATGTTGATCGTATGCTAGCAAGTTGGGCAACATATCTAGAGAGGCTTAACAGTGCATAAATTTGGAGCAACCAATCGAGTAGCCCATGCTTCGAGTTGCTGTGCATGTCTCCTAACTTATTTTTAGGTTGAACTTCCGAGCATGCATCAAATAAAGGAGTTGTATGAGGATGACGATAACTTTGGGTGATGACTATTTCGTGCAAGATGGCTCTCTCTTCAAGAATGATTGTTCACGCATCCCAAGAAGTTATCTAAGTGACAAACAGATTAGAGAGCTCCATTCAGGTGATCCTAGTGGCCATGTTAGACAGGACAAGACTATCGCTAACCTGGAAGCTCATTACTTTTGGCCACAGCTAAAGAGAAATGCTGGAAAGTTTGTTCACGGTGCCCCATATGTCAAACCTGCAAGGACTATACATGCCTTTGCTTGTTCATATTGCTCCAAGGGAGGACATCCCTATGGACTCGTCTTCGGTTTGCCAAGAACAAGACTAGGGAGTGATGTTGTATTTGTGGTCGTGGACAGATTCTCTAAAATGGCTCATCTCATTCCATGCCGCAAGACAATGAATGCTCATCATGTGGCAAACCTATTCTTTTGAGAAGTGGTTAGACTTGATGGCGTTCCAAGGTACATTATCTAAGGCCGTGATAGCAAGTTTCTTGCTGCATTTTAGCTCACTTCGTGGAAGCGGTTCAACACTGAATTAAAATTTTGTAGCACTGCCCATCCACAAACAGATGGACAAACAAAAGTAGTGAAGAATTTTTTGGATAATCTAATCCGTTGCATTTGTGGAGAAAGAGAAGGGACAATGAGATTTGGCTTAATCTCTTACAGAGTTCCGCAACAACTCCCAACATAGATCCACATGGAGGTGTTAAAGGAAGCTTGGGCAGCGAAGGTATGGGCCCTTCTCTATTCCCAGGAAGATAAATGATAATACTTATGTGATACATCTTCCAATCGAGATGAGTATATCCAACACTTCCATGTTGCAGACTTGACTCTCCACCACCCAGAAGAAGCGCTCTATGAAGATAACTCGAGGTCGAGTTCCAAACAACCAGGGGAGAATGATGAGGAACAATAGAGGGAAAAATAAAATAAAATCATAAGGCAAATCCATTTGACTATTTCTACAACCTAGTATTTGTTTGTTTTCTTAGCTTTATCTACTAGTTTTTAGAGCCTTCTAGCTATGAGTGGAATATTGCATCTTAAGTAATGTTTTCTAGAGTGTTCAACTATATGAGATGTAAAGGCTTCTAAAAGGCCATAAATAAAGGTCTGCTGCTGCCTTCAACATGTGTTGGTCTGGCAGCAAGGTGAAGCTGCTCCTCACAACCTTGTGTTTGCCTTAGTAAGCTACAAGAAATGTAAGTAGTGGAAAGTGAGCTAAGCTACAATTTTTTTGTGAAGTTCACCGTCAACTCAAGATAGCCTCGACTACAATAATCAGCATAACTTCCCCTCAAAAAGTAAGGCCAAAGAATTAAAACAATTATCCAAATAGACAAACACTCGGGCAGACCTAGAGCACAAAATAACAAATTTCAAAGAAGAAACTAATATTATTAGATTCTTGATTTCTCAACATAAAACAAATCCTTACTTTCATCTGGATAGTCTATATACTCCACCTGACACTCCATGTGACCGCTCCTGATACACATATCGGTGATCTGAGAGTAAAATTGAGATGATTTAGCAACATCCAATCTCGCAATACAAAACAAAATAGGCCTTTGTCCAAACCAAAAGGTAAAAATATGCAAGGTGGAACGTACGAGATGGATTATCACAAAATGAGATAAGTAGACTATTAGTTAAGGTACATTTCATTCAAATGCACATTTTTTTTACAAAAAGACTATAAAGTAGCCCCCGAGAACCATGATTCTAACTCTTTGCTAGAGACACACACCTCCCAACTAAACCACACGACCAAGAGATGGCTCACGTCAACGACATATGAAATAACACAAGTCCAGTAGCTAGATGTCTACGTCAAAACCATCATGGGTTGTGCCTTAGTCCTCTAGGGTGGAGATTATGCCAATAGAAAGTAGTGAAACCTTAAGAAGTTTGGTGGTCCATTGTCAATCATCAAGGTACCAACCAACCTCATGAGACATGTATTTATTGAGATCTAGTCTGACCTTGATACGGCGGCCACCATGGACTACTACACTTTGTCAAGCACTAAAAGTACCAAGTGTCGCAAATGTTGGTATACATATGGCCAAGATATGGCATGAAAGATGAATCCTCACCTTTAGGCGTGTCCATCTAATCGAGTAAATAGCATCAAACCACCACAATTTGGGTTAGGGTTTTGGAAAACCACCACATTTCGACTTTGTTCCCAATACCGCCGATGTTGTGCTAATTTTTAATAAAAACACTAATGGCGCAGTTGGTTAGTTTTGACTACGCATATGAAAAGTCAAGCTTGCATGTAAGCATGGACATGGCACAAAATGTCAACTCCATTTGTATTGACCGTTAAGTTGGGTGTGGGGCTCCCCCATCAGCATCAACCCTCCTCTCTTAAATCATTTGCTCTCTACAACATTTCCTCGAACAGCTTGCGTGCATGTTGACGCAATTGCGACCGGAGCATGAGTTGCTCCTCCCTGCCGCCAGTGCGCCGACGCCATGCATCCCCGTCACATGTGCCATCGAGGTGGACCACACCACGCAGATCATCCCGTCGCCTGTGTAGTTCTGCCATCAAGAATGTCCCCACTGAGCTCGCGAAAACTAAGGGCGTTGCAGCCGAGGCATTTGGGGAGGCGGGGCTCCCATCCCTCAAAGCCTCCCTGTTCCTCCACAAATCATTGCCGCATCCTCTTGTCTTTGACCTCCCCCACACCAGCGCCTGGCGACGGTGAAGTTTTGCTGACCGCACACACCGGCCTCGGTCCTTGAAGATGGAGTGTGTCACAACCACACGTCACGATCTTATCATGTAGAGCCGCGGCATCACGCGCACGCAGATCGAATTGCCCAAAAGACACATGCACGTAGAGTTGGCGTTGATGGATCCTTCAGGCTAGGTAACTTCACACGTGCAGCAAACTACTAGCCATCGGATGCCTGGTCGATCTAGAGTAGGACAACTCACGAAACACTCATGAACATCGGGGTCGCCGCAGCAGCTGGCACGGCATGCTAGCAGCAAGCATGTGCATGCAACTCCAGGCGCAATGGTGTGACGAGGTGGCCATGGCAGGCGGGAGGAGATCACCAGCGTTACAGCCAAAGCCCAGGTGAGCCGAAGGAGGTCTTGGAGATACCAAGTGACGAACAAGATGAAGACCATGCTGTCGATTTACACCGATTCTGTCCAATTAATTTGGAGGGAGGCTCTACAACGGGAGGTGAAGCTAATGGACATGGTGGTTTGGCTCAAGGTGGACATTGGCTACGACCACGACAAAAAGTGGACTCTCTAGTGTTGTTCAACCAAGGCGCAACGCTCATGGCTGGCAGCGACAATGTCGAGTGTTTCCTAGACGGTGCTCGACACCAGCTCGCCATGGGGAAAGTGTATCCTGACTAACGCACACTACAGCCAGCTATGGCAGCGTCAGCACATCCAAGTATTTGAGAGAATGCCTCTAACGTCCACATAGCGTCCATCGCCTACAATCGTTATCTCATGCAACAGCCTGACGAATGGGCCCAAACCAATCATAAACATGGTAATTAACCAATTGTGTGATCAGTGTTTTTTGCAAAAAAATTAGCACAATATCAATGGTAATGGGAACGAAGTTGAAATGTGGAGACTTTCCAGAACCCTAACACCGATTGTGGTGGTTTTATGCTATTTACTCTTATCTAATCCTATAATGATGGTACGCAACTTGGCACTCCTACCACTGTCAGGTTGGACGAGCTACGATACATAAGCAAGAGAGAAAATAATAATTCTAAGAGAAGCTAAAGGCAAAATTGGAGTTTAAATTTGAGATATTACACGCATAGCAGGAGATCTCTACAAATAGAGGGTGTCAAATAAAAGATTTTGGAGTTGCATCTTTAAACTCAAACTTGGCATGGAAAAAGTTCACAAGATATAGTGCAAATTAACAAACATGACAAAATATGAGAATGTCAAAGTTGAATCAATACTCTTGATCATACTCCCCCTGTTCGAGTTTACAAGGCCCTTCTTGAAAGAACACTAGTTCCAAGGCAAAGCAAGAAGAGAGAGAATTAGTGTGATTTGATGCCAAAAACGCTCATAACAAGGCAAAAATGGCTTGCATGAATGCAGGGGAACTAATGTCGATTTGGAAACTAAGAGACACTGAGTAAATACCACCACAGTTAGGAGGATAGATGAAGGGCCTTGTAATCTCAAAATTTCAGATTTGGAAATGGGCCTGATAAACCCGAACAGAGGGAGTACTTTTCTAATGAGGTAAAAGACAGAGATATAGCTACATAATTAAGATGCTAAATTATGAAATGTGTCATAGTAACCACAAAAAGTAAATAATACTTCCTCTGTTCCATAATATAGAGCATATAGCTTACTATTTTTGTAAGTCAAACCTTGTATAGTTTGATCAGCTTAATTGAGAAAAATATCAACATTACTAAAACCAAACAAATACAATATCAAAGTAGGTCTCATGATGTATCTAATGATATATATTTCGTGTCATAAATTTAGACATTTTCCAAAATTTAGACATTTTCTCTATATATAAACTTGTCGAAGTATACCAAACTTAAATTTTCAAAAAGCTGTATAAAATACATTATGGAACAAAGGGAGTATAATTTAGGAAAGTATCATTTATGAAAATGCATATGCATAGTAATTTGACAAAACGTACTAAAGAGAGATGTATTTACATACATAAACAAGCAATGGTTAAAGAAATTGCAAGTTGTACCTTGCAACGGAACCATGCACCCCTATAACCAACATTATAGGATCTTGTCTCTACGGCATCTCCAACTTTAAACGGAAGTATTAGGTCCATTCTGAGCCACCCAAGTACACCAATAAAAAGTTGTGTTAACTAGGAAGATTAAGAATCACACACTCAACTAAGTTAAATAAAATGCATACCTCAATATCAACACTAAACTACATAAATAAATAATTGTACAAATTAATCGGTGAATCAGCCTATTAACTGAGTTTATCGGTAACACGTTTATCGGTGGGTTAGCTAGGGCCATATCTATATATCTTAGGCTACATAGCAACATGCAATGTACTAAACGTCTAAATATGCTATTGTACACATGAATATAACAAGGAAAATTGCGGCTGCTAGTGGCGCCATGGACAGGGGACAGGGACGGCGACTGCTAGGTGAGGGGGTGGCGAGCTCGAGGGATCGACTGGATCCAAGAGGAGTTGGGGGAGGGGACGCCTGCTTGGGGAGGGGGCGATGACCTAGAGCAGGAAGGGATGCAAGCTCAGGGGAGGGGGCGACGAGCTCGTCTACCGTGCAGCTGTGATGATCGACTAGATCGATCCTAGAGGAGTGAGGGATGGGGTGGCGAGCTCGAGCAGGAGTAAGAGGCTGGGTGCCTGGATCCTGGAGGACTGGAGGCGCCTCTGGCGAACATCACCGACAGTTGCTCAGGGCGGGGGCGACTGCTCAGAGAGGGGCGGCAGCTGTTGCTCCTCGCCTTCTCCAACGAGGGTAACTAGGGGAGGGGAGGGTAAGAAGGGAAGGAAGGGACCTAGCCTAAAACGCCCAATTTTGGGGTAAAGTAGGGAACGGGCCAAATTTTGGAGCCTGAATTTCTCTCTCCCTCTATTCAATTAATCGGACCACATGGATAAATCGGTCTGACAGCTGATTAATCAGCTAGACCAGCTAATGCGATGGATATGCGTTATCGCATCCGTGACGGGAGAGAAAAAATACCACACGCCCCTAACACAATAACCATGACTCAAGACCCCAATAGGTCCATGTCCTTTATTTCAACATGGCATCTTATCAGTCTTGCCGTTTATCCTTTCCACTCTTGCCGACAGACAAGCATGGTCATAGATGATTTCTTTCATCTCCAATTTGTTTTTGTTGAGGTGTTCATTTTCCATTTGAATCGGCACCGGTACGAAAGAAAGATGGGTCATGCACTACTAATTAACGTTGCATCCTGAACAACATTATAAAATTATTAATAGGTGAAACAACATCATATTCAGATTCTATGAATTTTTCTAATCAATTTTCATATATAACATGTTAAAATTGGAGTTAGGGTTTAAAAGATATGAATATTTTTATTGAAGCACTTGAATCTATACCTAGACAACATTTAAAACGATTAACGGGTAAAAATAACATCATATTCATATTCTACACATTTTTCTAATCAATTTTCATATATAACATGTTAAAATTGGAGTTATGGTTTAAAATATATGAATATTTTTCTAAAAGCATTTGAATTTATATAAAAAATGTTACTTTCTAGACGGACAGCAGGTTTATTAACCAAAATCTTAGGGGGATTTCTGCAAAAAAGTGACACATTTTCTATTTCTCATTTAAAATAGGACTGTAAGTTGATTAACCGAAACCAAGGGGGGGATGTTCTCACTTAAATCGGGACCGCGGGTTGATTTCATGAAAGTGCAGGGACTTTTCTGCAAATGTGCGATGACGGATGAACAAAAGCCATCGGCACTTTGTTATTAGGTAAAGATATCGGCCGATATTTAGAACAATGCCTAATAGTCACTTAAGAATTAATTAGCAAGAGACCAAAGTAAATTGGGGTTAGGGAATTTGATTTGGAAAATAATATTGTCAGCTTGCCTAGGTTCAGTGGAAATGGCAACCTAGTGAAAGATGAGATTCGATAGGGGAATTGCAAAATGGGGTTGGGTCATAGGCTATCAAGTTTACTTCTTATTTACCACGATTTTATCCTATCCTATAAGCAGATGCGTTTCAGTGAAATGTACTTTGGAACCACCAAAATCGAGATGCCAGGCCTCTCCCTGTCGTCGCCCCCTTTATGTACGATAAAGAAAACATCTATTGGAACTTCTTTTAACAGGATTTCCCTTACAGTACACATATATAAAGTAACAAGGGGAGAAACACCACTTTCAGAAGTGTCCTACCCTCCTCTACTTGCGTTCTAGTGCATAAGTAAAGATGTATCGACATTTAGGAATGTATGTAGTTAATCCGGTTTCTTCTTCTTTGCCCTCGACTTAACCACTGGAATGTGCATAGAGCAGAGCATAAATCTCATCATGAAACAATATCACCACTGGTGGCAATGAATGCTGGATTTACCTGAATCTGAATTTCTTGATGTTCCCGACCCGTCCCAAGCCCACGTATCTTGAGAAACCCGAGATTCTGCACAAAAACAAAACGATTTGAGTCGAGAACTACTCTCGACACGGAACCTGTTGAAACAAATTAGGTTTGGGAACTAGCCACATCGATGCGCCGTCGATGGGGATTTCTTTTGCCGGTCAACAAAAAGACATTAGGGATTTTTTTGCAGAGGAGGCGGCGCGGGGTCGGGGGGAGGGGGGG